TATCTGCTATATCCAATGCCGACGAGGCCTATCATCCCATAAGAAGTTATCTTCACACCGGCTGTGACACAACAAACACGGTAGTGGCTGAGACAGAGGCGTAAGTATGCCCAGGCAGCCCCCTCAATTGTGGGAGAGGGGCGAGCCAAAAGGGGTCCTGGCAAATTTATAAATTGCCAACAAGGGGAATAAAGCTGGGGGCCCCAATTACTTTTTATGCAGGGGGCCCATCAGTTGTCATTAAGTTATACCGGTTTCGAGAAGTTCCGCTCCTAATCAGCAACACAAATCAATAGAATAAGAAGCCTTCATATAATGGTGAAGTGTACATTATATGTATGGTATTCCTTAACTGTTTATCGTCAGCATACACGACTCACTTTATATAAGACAATAATTGTTGTTTTTGATCATAATCACCCAGCAATCCTCCTGATGAATGAGGACTCTTTCAAGTCAATAATGCAACAATCCACCTCGGTTTAAAGAACATGTCAGTGACATCACAAGTAAACAAGTACAAGAGTGAGTAACTAATGTAAGTAAGTAATCCAAACTAAGTAATGAGGTATGCCATTTAATTTATACCACATAGTTTTATAGATATAATTGAACTAAGTATAATCATGAAAAGTGATCGGAAGTTGTACACGTAAACTCTCGTGATCAGCATGATCGAATGGACTGGGAATCTGGCTTAGTAGTAAAAAGAACGCCCTAGGTTATGAACTACCACGAGTTTATTAAATTATAACCCTTCTCCACATCAATGTTACAAGCATTATTAAACTGTTTAACCCCTTTTATCCATGAAAAAATGTTAACAAATGTACTTTATATAAATTAATTTTAAAGGGTTAACCATTAAAGAAGATAAAACTGGGTTTTAAGTATTGATAGCCATCTTATAAAAAATTACTGAAACGTGAATATATAGCCGAGTAATCTTTTTCAAAGATAGAAAATTAAAAAGTTTCTCTTGTTCACGTTGTTTCAAATGTTTTCTTTCTATTATTTTACTATTTCATATAGACTTTTAAAATAAAGTTTTATAAATATATCGTATATATATTTTCCATGGATGCTTTGATAAAATGAACGTCAGAACAGAAATAGTAACTTATCTGCTCTACATTGGTCATATGCGATAGGCATGGTACATGATGTTTTACACATAATGAATGTGCATCAATACTTCATAATTTCGTCAGGTGTTCTTGGGTTAAAGGCCGAAAGCACCGCTAGCAGCGAGGGTAACCCAACTGATGACCTCAAGTAGAGTGGTCATAGATTTCTGAAGCGTGAATTTCACTAATAAAAATATAATTTCTCTAAATATTTTAAGAAAAAGATTTCTCTTGTTGTCAGATTTCCGGTTCTCGAGTACCATTATTTGTTTGGTTTGAATTTCGCGAAAAGCTACACGATGGCTGTCTGCGCTAGCCGTCCCTAATTTAGCAGTAAAAGACTAGACAGAACGCAGCTAGTCATCAGCTACTCTTTTAACAATGAATAGTGAGAGTGCCTATCACATTATAACGCCGCCACGGCTGAAAGGGCGAGCATGTTTGGTGGGACTGAGATTCGTTGCCGCAACCCTCAGATTGCGAGTCGAGCGTCCAAACCACCTGACCATGCCGGGCCTTCTCAGGTATCAGTATTAATCCTGTTTGAGGTACCGGAAATTTTTTTTTTCACCACTTTTGGCTCCGTTCACTTTAAAATGCACATTTAAGTTTTCTAAGCGAAACGTCAACACCAAGAGAAATTAATTATTCCTCAGATTCGTTTAATCATTTCGTGCTTTCTTGATTAATGATTAATTAATTAATTAATTTCTTGATTGACTTTGAAAGCTTACATGCTCAGAAATGTACTTACATTATCAGTGTTACATTTTCCAAGTACGTGTAACTGGTAAATGTAACTTCTTGTCAACTTGACAGTGTTTTGAAAAATGTAACTATTTTATAACTTTCCACTTTCCCTTTTACGGTACAAACGTTCATTTTTGTAGCAAACTTTGGGTTCCAAATTTCATTCTAGCAACTTACTGGAAACTTCATTTTTATAAAAACAACAACAACAACAACATACAAGTAAGTGGGTTTCATGAGCATCTGTAATAAAATTGTTTGGTTATTTTGATTATCTTCTTTATTTATCTTTATTTTATTTTATTTTTTTTATAATTAAAATACACCTCGGGGACTGCAACGACCCTCTTATTTTTATTATGAAACATTTAGAGAAAATATATGCGCTGTTTTTAATCCCCACAATGTTAGTAACTCACAACTTTCACTTGCTACTATTTTTATTAGTGGCACACCGATATGTCCGCGGATTTACAACGCTAGAAACCGGGTTTCGATACCTGTGGTGGGCAGAGCACAGATAGCCCATTGTGTAGCTTTATGCTTCAAGCAAACAAACTCACAATGTTACGTAAACTTTTATCGTATTTGTTACACTGAAATTGTAATGACTCTGAAGAAGCAAGTCACCATTACTACGAGACCAATTAACTAGATGTTTGACAAGCTCCACTAGATGTCGCTAGCGCATAATAGTGTTAATAAAACTTTAACTGAAGACAAGGACATCATCACGTGGGCCGACTGATGAGCTCTTACCGGAATATAAGTGGACAACAAACACATATTTGAATCACGCGAAACAGTTATAAGACCAGAATTACACAACATCTTAAACCACGAATTCACTCGATACGGAAACGGAATATAAGATAAGAAACATCATATCTACAGTTGCTAAGAGCAGGATAAGTCTACAACCCCAAGTTGTTAAATTCTCTTATTTCACGAACGTTATTAATACATTTTATGGAAAGCAGTTTATCCGAGTTTAATGAACTAAAGACTAAAGTAAGTTAACTCTACCATGTTGAACAAGAAACATGTGAACCCTTCAATTAAATGAACGAAGAAGTATCATTGTTCACCTGAATACACAGCAACAGTCCTTAAATATTGTTGCCCGGCATGGCCAGGTGGTTAGGGAACTCGATTCGCAACCTGCGGGTCGCAGGTTCGAATCACCGTCCCGCCAAACATGCCTGCCCTTTCAGCCGTGGGGGCATTATAATGTGACGGCAAATCCCAGTATTCGTTGGTAAAAGAGTAGCCCAAATTGGCAGTGGGTGGTGATGGCTACCAGCCTTTCCTCTAGTCTTTCATTGCTAAACTAGGGACGCCTAACGCAGATAGCCCTAGTGTAGCTTTGCTCGAAATTCAAACAAACAAATCCTTAAACAGTTTCACCCAATCTATAAGTAAATATATAACTTTCAAAAGAATACATAGCCCAATGTTCTTCTGAATTTGAAGACTGTAAAAAAAAACCATTGTAACCACTAACGTGCTAATGAATATTGGAGAAACGTGTATATTTTACTGTCTTGAAGTAAAACGAAGCAGTGAATTGGAACCAAATGAACTACACTGAGATGATCAAAATTTTATATGGTGCAGTGTCTTCCGGAGACATCCTTGTGCAAGGTTTGAATACTTAAATTGAAAGTGTTGGTGTTGTTGTTTTCCCGCATAATCACCTCTTCGTCCTCAGCAAACGCCAATATTCTATGATAACAAAAGGAACTTACCAGTAGTTTTTTCAAGCTTCAGCTTATAAATGACAGACTCTCAT